AATCCCAGCTCACTATTTGTCTCCTAGGAGTAGTTTTACAAGGAGAGGGACAACCTATTGTCCTGCTTCCTTTCCCATCCTCTCCTAGCTAGAGACTACTTCTTTGCTCTTACCTAAGGCACACCTTCCTCTTCAATATGTATGATGCAGCCAGGGGCACTACTGAGGGGAGAAAAACTATGTCCTCCCTCAGTTGTTGGCATGTGAAACAAAGCCCCATTCATCCTAAACTAGTTAGAGCTGTTTATCCTGTTAAGGTGTATGTGGGAGAACTATGCCCCTCTGTGCTGGCAGATCTGTATGGGCTGAACTCATGAATCAGAAGCTTGGTCATTTACTAGTAACTACTGACTCAATGGGAGCTAGGCGGCACAACAGATAGAGTGCCAAGCCTGGAGTCATGAAGACCTGAGTTCAAATCTGGCCTCAGATGTTTCCTAACTGTGTGACCCTGGGCAAGTCACTTAACCCTGTTTGCCTCAGTTTCCTCATCTGTAAAAGGAGCTGGAGGAGGAAATGACAAATCACTCCAGTATCTTTGTCAAGAAAACTCCAAAAGGGATCATGAGAGTCAGGTACTATGGAAAACAACTGAACAGCAAAATATTAGCTTAAAGCCAAGTCGTTTTTCCCCCTTTGGGTCTCAGTTTCCTCATGTATAAAATAACAGACAGCATAGTATAATGGAAAGCAATGGACTTAAAGTCAGAGAACTTGGGTTTAAATGCAGGCTCTGCCTACTCTTAAGTCTTATAACCTCCCTGGGCCTGGGTTTCCTTATCTGTGAAATGAGGGATTAAATGACCTTCTAAAGTACCTTCCAACTCTAAATCTCTGATCCTTTGATTAGATGATATCTCACCTTTATATAGGCCTTAAGCTTTTTAAAGCACTTTATATTCATTATTTCCCTTGCTCTTCCCAACACCACTCTGAGCCAAGTGCTATTATTTATTTATCCCCATTTTAGAGATGAAGAAACTAAGGTTCAAGATCACCAAGTGTCTGAGGCAAAGTGTGAGTTTTCCTAGGCTTTAACTATGATTCCAACATGCCTCTCAAAGGTCCCTGCAATCTGAGTTGCTATGATTCTGTGACATAATTACTGTTCCACCTATGGCTGAGGACCAAATATGTAGAGAACATTCTCTAACTGAAATACACTTTAAAGTGTAAACAGTGACTTCCTCTGCATATTTGGGAATTATATGTATGTTACATCCATAGACAAACCACTTAACAATATACAGATTTGCCAATATGTGTTTAGAGGTGTTGCTGTGTCTGACCTTGATATTTGATGTGTGGGGTGTGTGTGTATGTGTGTGTGTGTGTGTGTGTGTGTGTGTGTGTGTGTGTGTGTGTGTGTGTGCAGACATTTTCTCTTCATTGATTTTTTACTCTGGGCTGTGAAATTTTTCCCCCCAACCCTGCATGAGCTTTATGTTCTTGGTCCTGTTCCCAGGGAAGAGTGGCCCTGCTGGGAAGGCTGTTTATTCTTATTTTTTCCCATTTCCCCCGCCTTGTTCGGGAAGCAGAAGCTTCCAGCCTCCATCCCCCTTTCCTCTCCTCCCATTAACCTTATTGGTTCCTTCTTTTAGCGAGAGAGAGAGAGAGAGAAGAGAGAGAGAGAGAGAGAGAGAGAGAGAGAGAGAGAGAGAGGCATAGGCAATCATTGGTTCAGCGAAAAAAATCAATGAGCCAATGAAATGCAAGCTTGGAGGTTGTTGCTAGACCAATGGGAATCTTGGATGTCAAGGACAAAGAAATGAGCTTTTCCAAGAACTGAATGGTACAAAATTCAGAAAACGGCCAGCAGATGGCAGCAGATCAAGCTGCATTGATGGCCCCCTGTCAGTTTCCAGTTGCCGGCATTGGGTGGCGATGGGGGGCAGGTGGAAGGATGCATGCTCTCTGTTAGTTCTTCCTTGATATAAAGTAACGATTGCTGTTGCAGATTTGGGGAGTAGTTACAAAGTACATTGTGTTTAATTTATATTTCTGCCGGTTTGAATCTGTTGTCTCTGCCTGTGCCCAGGGCGGCTGTTATTGTCATTATCCATTCATCACCCCCACCCCACCCAAGGTTGCTACATGGGATGGGTATTGTCTAGACTGAAACAATGAAGCCTTGCTAGAGGAATCTCTCCCTGCACTGCCATTCAAGGAAAGGGGTTGGAAGGACCTCATTAACTTTACTAACCCCCAAAAAGCAGGCTGCAGAAAAAGTAGTGCCTTCCTTGGAATTAAAGTCTGGGTGTAGTCATCATCGTCGTCGTCATCGTCGTCATCATCATCATCACTAGTATTTATATAACGCTTTAAGGTTTGCAAAATGTTTTATAAATATTCTCATTTGATGCTCATAAGACCCCTCGAAGGTAGGCATTATGATTATCCCCATTTTACAGATGAGGAAACTGAGGCGGGTGGCGTTTAAGTGATTTGCCCTGGGTCACATAGCTAGCAAGTGTTTAAGGATGCATCTGAACTTAGGTCTTCCTGATGCCAGATCTAGCACTTGATCCACTGCGCTACCTAGCTTCCTAGTAATAATAATTTTGTTGTTGAGTTGTTTCAGTCATGTCCCAACTCATGATCCTATTTGGGGTTTTCTTGGCAAAGATACTTGAGTAGTTTGCTATTTCCTTCTCCAGCTCATTTTACAGATGAGGAAACTGAGGCAAATGGGGTTAAGTGACTTGCCCAGAGTCACAGAGCTAATAAGTATCCGTATTTGAATTTGAATTCAATATGAGTCTTCCTGACTCCAGGCCCATACTGTGCCACCTAGCTGAATAATAATAATAATAATAATAATAATAATAATAATAATAATAATAACTGCCATTTACATAGACCTTGAAGTTCGCAAACTACTTTACATACTTATCTCATTAGGGAATTAACTTTCTCCTCCATGAGTCTTTCCCTGATTCCTGCTTCCCACCTCATCCCCACCTAGTCTCCAGTTGAAAGTTTGATGTACTAGAAAGTTGCCAATAATTATAACTATCCAAAAGTGAAATGAGATGGCTTAAGAGGAAGTGTGTTTTCCATAGTCATTGGAACTATTCTAGCAAAGGCTTGATGACCACTTGGGACAGCTAGGTGACATAGTGGATGGAGTGCCAGGCCTGGACTCAGGAAGACTCATCTTCCTGAGTTTAAATCTAGCCTCAAGTCTCTCAGCTGTGTGACCCTGGACAAGTCACTTAACCCTGTCTGCCTCAGTTTCCTCATCTGTAAAATGAACTGGAGAAGGAAATGGCAAACAACTCCAGTATCTTTGCCAAGAAAACTCTAAATGGGATCATAAAGAGTCATACACAACTGAAACTACTGAACAAAATAACTGCTTGTCAGGTATATTTAGAAGTTCATATTCAGGTTGGACTAGATGATCTCCCCATCCAGTCAGAGAGCTGTCATCTGTAATTCATCCTCAAATTTTCCATGACATTTTGCCTGGACCTCTCCTTGGAATTTATCTCACATTTCCTTGTTCCAGAGTTATCTTCATACTTCCTTATACCCATAAGCTTCTAAACTCCTTAAAAAGCAATGTCTACGGACAGCTAGGTGGCACAGTAGATAGAGCACCAGCCCTGGAGTCAGGAGGACCTGAGTTCAAATCCAGACTCAAACACTTACTAGCTGTGTGACCCTAGGCAAATCAGTCGGCCCCAATTGCTTCCCCCCCCAAAAAAAAGAACAGAAACACAAGAAATAAAGCAATGTCTGCTGCATTTTATGACGTATCATCTATCTTTGTATCCCTAATGCCTCGAATGGTGCCTTGCCCTTTTTCGTTTATTTTATTTATCTAGACCTGTGATTTCATTTGTGTAGAAATTCACTCAACTGTTGCAGACCCACAAGTCTGTGAGTATGGTCTTAGACAATTGCTTGAGGGCATTGATACTCTTACCCACAGTCTCACGTCTAGTGTGTTTTAGAAGGGGGACCTGAATACAAGCCTTTCTGACTCAAAACCTGCCTTCCATTCACTACTCAATACTACCTCTCATCTAGTACATAGTAGGCACTAAATATTAATGGAATTAAATGTATTGGACCACAGTCTAGAACTTAGAATCACAGAATATTAGGACTGAAAATGACTTAAAGGTCATTTAATCCAACCCCATCATTTTAGAGATGAAGAAGTGGAACTTTGATATCATATGCCCAGATTGATCATATCTGCTGTCCTTGTGTTTGGAGAGGGATGCATTTAATAATGTACCAGTTTTGTATCTGGAGGTACAATTCAACAGCCAGAGACTGCTGACCAGATGCTACCAAATTGGGTAATAACAGTAACCATGACTACACAGTGCCCAGCTCATAATAGGCACTGAATAAACATCTGATGAAAGGAATTTAATTTCTAAGCACAGAATTTTAATGAATGCTTGGTATGGTTTGGAACTGCCTTATGGAACAACCTTCCCCTGTCATCCTCATCCCAACTACCTCTGACCTGAGGTTTAGTTGACCATCAGTGCTAGGTCTTTCAAACTCTTACTTTTCAGAAAATGGTTTCTAGTATTGACCTATTGTCCCAAGATAGTGATCGGGCCAGAAGCACTGTGCTTTGTAAGTACTGAAGGAGGCAAGAGTAAAGGACTTGGTATCAGGACATTCAAGTTTAAATCCTATCTCTGACATTTGTTACCCTGGAGAGGTCACTTTTCCTCTCTAGGACTCAGTTTCCTTCTTGGCAGAGTGAGGAACTTGAACTAGGTATTTGTGAAGGGTCCTGCCCAGTTTAACCTTCTAAGATTCTCTCATTCATGAAAGCTGATGGTCTCTGATGATTAAGAAAGTTGCTGTGTCCTTGGTAGATCTGTGGTCTAGACCTTTGAATCAATAGCTGAACCCAGTTCAAAGAGCTAGACCCAAAAAAACCTTAATGGGAGTGTCAATTGACTTACCCCTATATGGGATCTTTCTCAGTTACCTAGTTTCTTTTCTTTTTTCTTTTTCTGTTTTAGGAAGAATCAAAAAGCAAATCCAAAGTCTGTGCCAATGTGTTTTGTGGGGCAGGCCGGGAGTGTGCAGTCACTGAAAAGGGAGAGCCAACCTGTCTTTGTATTGAGGTAAGTTATTCAGGAAAAGGGGTAGCTTCAGAAATGGCTGTTTTGCCGAGGGTTGACTTTCATTAGGATAATGCAGAATGTGTGTGTGTGTGTGTGTGTGTGTGTGTGTGTGTGTGTGTGTGTGTATGCATATGTATGTGTATATATCCTTTACAGGATCGTAGTCTTAGAACTCAAAGGCACTTTAGAAGTTGTCTAGCCCAGTGCCTCCATTTTGAAGATGGGAGTGGGGAGGGAAGGGAATAAGTATTTACATGGCACCTACTATGTGTCAAGCACAATGCTAAGCACTTTACAATTATTATTTCATTTATCACAACAACCTTTGAGATAAGTGCTATTATTATCCTCATTTTTACGGTTGAAGAAATTGAGGCAAACAGAGGTTAAGTGACTTGCTCGCAGTCACACAGCTAGTAAGTATCTGAGGCCGGATTTAAACTGAGGTCTCTCTGACCAGTGCTCTATCCACTGTTTCACCTAGCTGCCTCTTGATGAAGATACTGAGGCCTAGTTCAGATGACATCCTCAAGGCCACAAAAGTAATAAGTGGCAGAGCTAGGTTTCAAACCTAGGTGATTTGACACCAAATCCAGGATTCTTTCTCTTGTACCACATTGTTATCCACATTAATTTAGAAATGAAACAAAATACCCTTTCATCTGTCTCAGTGACCTCTGGGATTTTTTCAATCTGGAAGGGAAAAAAAATCCTAAATTATTGTAGTTATGTAGTTTTTGAAAACTCATACTTGGGGGATCAAAGTAAGAATCAGAGAAATATTTTATTTACTTCTTTGTAAGAGACTTGCAAATAAAACTCTACTCCTTAAGTAAATTAGTATAGGAAAGTTGCCTTGTAGGCCTTTGTCCAGAACTCCTGAATTAGGGGTATGCCAACAGGGCTCAGACTCAGAACTCCCATGGGAGCATTGGTAGGGGTACTGGATCTGGAATGAGAAAACCTGGGTTCAGCTCCCTGCTCTGCCACTTCTTACCCATCAGAAGGTCAAGTCATTTAAACCCTTTGCTCTCAGTTTCCTTTTCACTAAAAGCTTTGGAGTAGATGACCTTTAAGGTCCATTCCAGCTCTAAATCTATCATCCCATGCCTTCCCTTCTGGTTAAACATTTCCCTAGTCAGTTCATTATACATACATTAAAAAAAAACAAACACATGGTATTGGCTGAAAAAAACAGAAAACTTTTCAATGAAATAAATTGAAACTATAGAAATGGAGTCGAACTGAAATAAGGACTTCATGTGTAGTAGACCAGATATAGCACAACAATGGGGAAAAGACTCACTACTTAATAAATGTTTCAAGGGAAGGGTAATTGGGACATATATGTATGGGGAAGAATTAACTTGACTCCATATACCTCATACTATACATAGCAATAAATTCCAGATGGGTTAGTGCTAAACATAAAAATAAACTAACCTACTTAACAAAATAATAACAACAACAAAGGAAACTGGAGAGCATATTTATACCAGCTGTGGAAGAGAAATAGATTCTTGGCCATTGAAGGAGTAACGAAGTGACAAGGTGACATTGAAAAAGTGACAAGATATGAGTAATCAATTTTATTAAAAATAAAAATACTTGCATAATGAAATGCAATAAAGTAAATATCCCAGGGAAAGCAACAGATTAGGAAGAAATAAAATGTAAAAAATGACTAAAAGCTTGGTCTTCAAAATATTTTAAAAATCAGCATACATATATATATATTTATATGTTATATATATATATATGTATATTTATGCATAGCTCATTATCCAGAGTCTACTTAATAAGTGGTCAAAGGAGATGAACAGTTTATATATGAGAAAAATAGATAGCAAATGATCATATAGAATAATGATGATGATGATGATGATAATGATGATAATAACTGACATTTATAGATATCTTTAAGGTTTGCAAAGGGCCCTACCTATATTATCCTGTTTGAAGTGCCTGCCCTTGTTAACCATTACAAAATGCAAATTAGAAGAGCTCCAAGGTGCTACTGTATACCGATTAAACTAGCAAAAGCAAATTGGAATTATAAAAACTCAATGTTGAAGGGCTATGTATAGAAGGGGTACTCTTAAATATTGCTGGTGGCAGTAGACATCTATCCATCCAGTCCTTCTGGATAGCAAGCAGTCAGGATGTATAAGAAGATATACCAAGCTGTTCATACCCTTTAACCTGGTAGTTTTGCTCTTGGAAAATATATTTTTGAAGGGAAGCTAGGTGGTGCAGTCGATAGAGCACTGGCCCTGGAGTCAGGAGGACCTGAGCTCAAATCCCATCTGGAACACTTGACACTTACTAGCTGTGTGACCCTGAGCAAGTCATTTAACCCTGATTGCCTTGAAAAAAAAAAAGAAAGCATATTTTGATACTTTAAGTATCTATGTTTGCATCTATGTAAGTATTCCTTCTACTCCTGTGGTTTGCAGTTTTTCCATGGCTTAGTAATAATAATCATATCTAGTATTTACATAGCAGAGTGCTTCACAAATATCTCATTTGATCAAACAATAAACTTTCATTAAGTGCTGTCACATACCAGGTACTGTGCTAAATGCTAGGGACACAAAAAGAGGCAAAAGATGGTCCCTGCTGTCAAGGAGCTCACAGTCTAATTGGGAAGACAAGGAAATAAATATGTAAAAACAAACTATTGTTCAGTCATGTCCAACTCTTTGTGACCCCATTTGGAGTTTTCTTGGCAAAGATACTAGAGTGGTTTGCCATTTCCTTCTCCAGCTCATTTTACAGATGAGGAAACTGAGGCAAACAGGGTTAAGTGACTTGTCCAAGGTCACACAGTTAGTAAGTGTCTGAGGCCAGATTGCAACTCAGAAAGAGGAGTCATCCAGACTCCAGGCCTGGCACTCTATCCACTGTACCACCTAGCTGCCCCTCTGTAGGTACTACAGACATTGTTATCTCCATTTTACAGAGGAGGAAGCTGAGGCTCCAGAAAGTTAAGGGGCTTGCCCAGGAACACACAGCTAGCACGTGTCAGAAGCAAATTGATCCCAGGTCATCCTGGCTCTCAGTGCAGCACTAAATCTACCACACCACACTTGTGCAAGGGGAAGCTTTATTCATGCTAAGGGGAGAGCTCACCAACGAGCTGGTTGGTGCCTGTGTCAGCTGCTATAGGAACATTCCATCTCTGGGTCTGTTCTAGCAATGCAAATCTCATAAGAGGCCTGTGTGTGGCAGTAACGGAAAGACATACCTCAACCACTGTGAGCTGCACCGTGATGCCTGCCTCACTGGATCCAAAATCCAGGTGGACCATGATGGACACTGCAAAGGTAAAGTGTGTTCATGTCATAGCATGTAGCCTCCAACTCTGTGACCTTGGGTTGGGGTCAGGGACATGGGTGGTAAGCCAGTTGAATAGAGGTACAAAGAATATATTGGCTGAACTTTTTCCAATTTCCCCTCACTCCCTCCCATCCCTTGCCCAAATCCTCATTAATCACTGGCCTTCTTCCTAGAGATGCTGGTATCCAGTCCTCTGACCATCACCTCCAGTCTGTCAAGTTCTCCACTAAAGTCTTAGGACCTTATCTCCAGACAGATGATAGGTTGGACTCACAGGACCATAGATTAAGAGTTGGGAGGGACCTCCCAGGTCACTGAGTCCAGCCCTGTCCTTTTACAGGTGAAAAGACTAAGGTACAAAGATATTAAGTGACTTGTCCATGGTCTCTCAGCTAGTAAATATGTGAAGCAGTCACGGAACAGAGGTCTTCCTGCCCTAAGGGTCCTCTTTCCCTTACACCACATTTGTGGAGCCCCTAACTGACTTCTGCATATTATTATAAAATTGTCTCTATCTACACTTCTGAATAAAGCATGAAGGAATTTGGGAATGCTCCAGCATATTAATGTCATCTTGTTACCTGGTGGTAATATACCTTGGTTTTATACTTTACCCATCTCCCTTTTAGGTGAAAAGACCTTTGACCTCATCCTGTTCTCCTAAAAGGATTTGTTCTGTAAAACTTGGACTCAGTCAAAAGGCTGCACAAGGACCTAGAAGGCCACATGTGGCCTCAAGGCTGCAGGTTATCCACCCCTTGATCTAGCGTGTTGCTAGCATAGAACAGGTGTCCTGGGCTGTGGATGCTCAATCTAACCCTAATTAGAACCTGGGCACTCTGTTAAAATGCTGGTGATCCAGTTAGCTTCCTTCCAGGAGTTGGTCTAGTTGAAATGAAGGGAGAGTAGGGCTGACTTAAGGTAGAAAATAATAACAATGCGGCATGCATCTCAACCACCTTCCCCAGCAGGGGCCTAACCATGATAATGAAATGATTTCATTTCCTGCTTTGACAAGTCACACAATTTCCCATTTCCTTTGGCAGAGAAGAAACCAACAAGTCCGTCTGCAAGCCCAGGTGAGTGTCTGCCTTTCCTATAAGCTGACATCCAGGGAACCACTTCCTATTGCTTGACGTCAGGTTTGGGTCATTAGCAGAGTGCCTTCCTTCAGTGGACATGACGCGGAAATGGGTATTGATCCCAAGAAGTTCAAGCCTGCATTTTACACAGCAGATTGAGGTTGTATTGACGTGGGCAGGATTTAAACTTTAGAGGAGTTAATAATTGAGCTTCCCCTAACTCCTTCACTTGCCCACTGAGTCCTTCTGTGGGCATTGGCCCTGAAGAATCAGATATCCAACTTATTTCAACTGTACACTTATTCTACTAAAGAAAATAACTCATGTATATGTGCTTTAAAACTTACTAATTGCTTTCCTTACAAGAAACCTGTGAGGTGATTAGTACGAGTGTGCTTATCTGCCTATTACAGATGAGAAAACTGAGGCTGAGAAAGGTTAAATGACTTACCCAAAGTCATGCAGTTAGCATTCAAAGCTGTAATGGCTGGAAATCCCACTAAACCCACTTTTATTTTTTTCACAACTTTCCACTCTTGGGCGTTTCAGGTCTCTCCTCATCCCCTCTCTTTCCCATTCTGGTTTCCCATTCACTACTTCCTCAGCCTGAATGTGATGTCTTTGGTAGCTGTCCCATATTGTGTTTAAAAATATTGATGCATTCAGGGCTCAAATGAAATCATAGGCATAAAACACTTTGCAGACCTTCAAAGTACTATGTAAATCCAATAATGATAGTAATAATGATAATGGTTGTTAACTTACAGTCACTGGGCCTCCACTCCGGTGAAGACAGCATTCCCTAAGCCTTCTACCATGCTGTTACTGAGCTCAAGCAATGTTTATAAAGCAAAATAAGGGTGAGCTGGTAAATGTTTAACAGCCAGACTCTTGATTTTAAAACCTATATGCACCTACATTTTAAAGTTTAATCTGCATTATTGACATTTCCTCAAATCTAGATAATCAACAAAACAGTAAGTCAAGCCCTGCTATGTGGCAGTTGCCAATTTCTGACGTATAAATGCTCCCACTGAAAATTTAACAATACGTTTGAGCCAGTTAGAGCTGAATGCATTCCTTTCCTGGGAATATTTAACAGCAATTTATATTAACACAGTCCCAAATAGTATATGGGGGAGGTGGTGCAGTGGATAGAGTTCTGGGCCTGGAGTAGGGACAATGCATCTTCTTGAGTTCAAATCTGGCCTCAGACACTTACTAGCTGTGTGACCCTGGGCGAGTCACTTAACCTTATTTGCCTAAGTTTCTTCATCTGTAAAACGAGTTAGAGAAGGAAATGGCAAACCACTCCAGTATCTTTGCCAAGTAAGCCCCAAATGGGGTCATGGAGAGTCAGACAGGATTGAAACAAGTGAATAACAACAACAACCACAAAAGATATATCAGTTGATAGGGATGAGAAACTTGCAGAATATTATTACTCGGTATGATGAGACCAAATGGCCAGGTTAAAGACCCAGAATCAGGTGGGTTGGACTATTGTAACAGTGAACGTTGACATCTTATTTGTGAACTGCTTCAATACAGTGCTAGGCCGGGACAAGATCACTTTCTTTTTAATTTTTTCATTTTAGCTTGCTAATCTCTACCTATAACACATGAAATGAGCCTTGACCTACCAAGCACTTCTTTCTTTAACCTATAATCAAAACATTGATTACTGTAAACATCAAGATTAATGAAAAGTCCTTTTAAGTATTTTTTCTCTCCTGCATTTCTCTTACCTATGTTGCATGCCATCTTTCTTTCTCTTTACTTCTAACTTTTTCTGTATCCTCCCCACCACGTCCCCTCCCTTTCCTCCTCTGATTTTTCTCATTTCTTTCCCACAGTGGTCTGCTATCAGTCTGACCGTGATGAGCTCCGAAGGCGCATCATCCAGTGGCTAGAGGCTGAGATCATACCTGATGGCTGGTTCTCTAAGGGGAGCAACTACAGCGAAGTCTTAGACAAATATTTTAAGGTAAGAAATGTTGTTGTTGAGTAGCTCAGTCACGTCCAACTCTTCATGAGCCCTTATTGGGCTTCCTAAAATGGTTTCCCATTTCCTTCTTCATTGTATCCCCATTTTACTGATGAGGAACTGAGATAAACGGGTTAAGTGACTTGCCCAGGGTCACGCAGCTAGCAAGTGTCTGAGGCAGGATTTGAATTTAGGACTTCCTGACTCCAGGTGCAGCAATCTATCCTTTGTACTACCTACATGGGAAGATCACTGCATGCTTTTTTCACCTTGAAATCATTATGTGTGAAGCAGCTATATTGCATTCTGACCTCCTTGGATGGCAAGTTCAAGAGGAGGATGGCCATATCTATGTTTGGGGTTTTTCTTGCATCTTATTCTAGCTTTTGGGCATAGTTTAACCATGAAGCTTTTGGAATTGCTGTAAATTAGGAAAAGAAAACAAGCTAGTCTTTAGCTCCTCCCCCAAATTAATAAATATTCTCACTCCTGTCCTTAAACCCATACATCTGCTGATACACATCGAGATGCCAGTACAGAGAGACACACTCACAGATATACTTTTATATTACAAAATGACACATGACTTCATGGATAGTAGTCAGCAAGCATTTATTAAAGAAAAGCAGAAATAGTTCCTGCTCTCAGGGAGGTCATCTTCCGGTCCAAGAGACATGTAAAAAATTGTCCCTGTAGTACTCACTATCAGGGAGGCCTAGGCTAGTGGCCTGCTTGAGCTCAGGAGCTCTGAGCTGCAGTGAGCTAAGCTGATCCCATATCTGCACTATCTGGCACCAGTATGGTGAGTCCCTGGTAATGAGGGTTCCCGGGCTGGCCCATGTGAGAACTAGAGCAGGTTGAAGCTTCCATGCTGATCCCAGTGGAATTGGGCCTGTGAGTAGCCTCTGAACTAGGTGAGGTAGGGAGACTCTGCCTTTTAAAAAAAAAAGTACATAGAAGGTATCTATAGTATAAATGGAAGGCAATCTCAGAAAGCGCTAACAATTCCGGAAGGGAAGTATAGGGAATAGAGGCATATACCCACAGAGATATACATATAGCCAATAAATTTAAATCCACCCAGATACAGACATACCTAAACAGAAATCACAAAGACAAATAGACACAGAAACACAGTTTCCTATAGATATGAAGAGACATAAACGCACAAGGACAACTGCATATGTTTGAATACACTCCAAGGTATGCCCCAATATAAATACACATGCACACAGATAAACCATCACAGATACACACAGCTGTGAATGACAGTTATCCTCCCTTAGATACACACACACACACACACACACACACACACACACACACACATGCAACTACAGAGAACGACAATTAGGCATCCCTCCAAGACTGACTAGAGGAGTGTTACTTAAGAGGCAGAGCTAGAGAAGCAGACTCCTGTGTACTCCCTTGAAACATGCTAAACAGGAAGAGGAGAAAGAAAAGGTGTAGGAGACTTAAATAATTCATTACCTGGCAGCATTTGCTTATCAGGAACTGCCTTTGGCCCCTTTTCCCCTCTATAGTCCCCACTTCAGCTAAGTGTCACCAGTTTTCCATTCTCACCTACAGTACCAGAAGCACCTGGTCTGGGATTAGCTTCTGGCCACAGGAAGAGCAGGGTCAGGAGATTGTTTCTGTGATTGAGCCTTTTTTGGACATCACTGTATGTTCCTATTTACATTTGCCTGGTCTTTTTTCAACTCATACAGGGCTGACCTAGTATCCAGAGCCCTGACTAGGACAGGGCAACTGGGGCCTTACCCCAGAGTGCTAAAATGATAACATTTGCTAAGCACCTAATTAAGAAGAATAAAGCTCATCCCAGACCTGAGGTTCTCCGTCTTCTCACCATAGAATGGTATCCTAACCAACCTACCTCCCCCCCACTCCCCAAAGTATGGATACGTTTGTGCCACTTTCCCTGGGTGAACAAATCCCTAGTTATGGCTTGGCTTGTGTCTAACCCCATTCTTGTTGAAATGCCTCTTTGCCAATTAAAGGCATAATTCTACATCCAGGCAGTGAAGCTAGGGGTCACAATATGGCCAGCCAGGCATTAAACAGTTTAAGATAGGGAGGGGAGGGTGGGCCGGGGGGTGGGGGTCAAAGCTAGGCAAGTCTCCCCAAGACAAAGAAATCTTGGAAGTAAGACAAGGCCTGCCTCAGACAGGAAGTCTTTCATTTTCTTCTTTAATAAATGCTTGTTCCTTTCCCTTCTTTCTGTCACTGGAGGATCCAGACACTGATTTCCCTGGGTGTGGCCAGATAGGGCTAGGTGACTCAGGTTGTTACAGGGCGGCCAGACCCAGTAGAGTAGCCACATGAGTGGCATCTTTAGAAGAAAGCAGATTGCCAAAATATATTGAAACAAAGGCCTCACTTCATTTTGCTCAAAGACTCAAAGTTCAACTTTATTTAACTGTCTTAAAGATTCAAATTTCTAGGGACCACATGTGGGCCGTGAAGGTCGGGCCAGTCCTTTCTCAATTCTATCTCTAGGAAAACATACCCGCTCGGCACACAGACAGCCCTTCAGGTGGAAGTATTCTCAGTGGGGAAAGCACATCAAAGAATAGGGCCAGAAATAGAAGGTAAGGGGAGAAAGGGACAAGACACTTGATAACAAGATAAATTGCCCTTGACAGGAGTTGGTTAGGAACACAAGCATTGCTATGGTAATTATAGCACCAGGCAGCCCTGAGACTCAGATCTCTCCACAGGGAGGGGTTTGTGGCTTTGTAGTGTTAATAATGGGCCTTTGGTGACATGAAGCCTCGGGTATTATAGACACCTGCAATTAGATTTGATTACTGGGTATCTGTACCACCCTCCCACATCCACACACCTCCAACCACCCCTCACCTACAAACCTATACTGAAACAGGCTGTCATCTAAAAATGTGCAAGTTCCCTGGAGAAAAATCTTTGTTAGAAAGGTCTTCTCTCACTTCCATCATAGAGTTTCTCTTCTTGCCCCAGAGCCAAAAGCTCTGACAACCCCACCTAGAGTGGATTGGAGGGCTTCATTTTCTATTCTCAGCTGACACAGTTAAGAGATTAGTATCATTGAGACCAATGCTGGTTTAAGATTGGGGGCTCTCATCCACTGGTCATAAGCAGCTATTAGTTGGTGATGGATTCAAGTGGCTCGAAGTGACAGTCTGAACCTGTAAAACAAAGATAGATGTCTCATCTCCTAGCTTACCTTTCAGTCAGTCCACTCACAACAAGGGAAAGGAATATCAGTGACTGCATTTTTTTTCTTCAGTCACTGGGGTTTTAGCATCCACTGCTCAAGCCAAATCCAGATAGAACTAAGAAGGTAGATCACAAAGTCATACAGATCTTTATAAACAAATGACCTCTATCTAATTAGTTATGATAATAGACAACCTGAATGGTGAGTACCTGGATTGTTTCTTATCTCTGTTTTCTTAGTGTTACATTACCCTCTGGCCCCAGCTAGTACCCTGGAGTGGTCCTTAACCTGGTGAGCACTCCCGTTCTCTTCTGAATGTTCTCAAGAGGTTTAACAAGAACAACCAAAATGGGTCTTTGGATGAACATCTTTTCTCACTATAACCCTGTAAGACTAGCTGGAAAATATTCCTTCTCCCTAGTTTACAGATCAGAAAATAGAAACATGCAAAGAAGCGTCCTTGGACTTGGATTGGGATGTAAGGGAAGTCTCTGAGCATTAAGTGAGTGCCAAGTACAAATTTAGAGGTTTTTTAATGGAGAGTCAGGCCTACCAGACCTTCCAGGCCTTCCAAGCTACTTCTCTGTGTTCTGTATCCACTCGTCCTGTATACACTTCCCTAAGGACTCAATTAACTCCAGAGAGCAGATCAGAGCCCAGGTGGAGTCAGGCTCAGGGACTCTAGAAGTCTGTTTAGATTTCATCAATCAATCAATCAATCAGCAAGCATGTAAATGCCTATTATAGGGCAGTCACTGTGCTATTAAGGAAACAGTCCTTTTCCTTCAAAGAGCTTATATTCTATTGAACTTACACTTATGGGAACAAGTCTTGGTCATCCTAGGGAATCCGACTATAATTTTGTTGGTGAATTGTCTCAGTCATGTCCAACTCTTCATGATCATATTTAGGGTTTTCTTGGCAGCGATACCAGAGTGGTTTGTCAATTCCTTCTCCAAGCTCATTTTACAGATGAGGAAAAATGCAACTCTCCAACTTACGCTCTCCTATAAATCAATACTCTTTGCCATCCAATACTATATTCCTAGGGAGTGCCTAGTGTTATAGTCCACACCCACTAGGCACTTCATTCATAGCTCAAGAAAGTCCTGCACTATGAGAAATCACATCTATAATATTATAAATGTTGAGCTGGAAGGTATCTAAGAGGTCATCTAGTCCAACCTCTTGGTTTTACAGGTGAGGACACTGAGGCTCAGAGAAATTAAATGACCTGTTCAAGGTCCCAGTGGTAGGATGTAGTAAGGCCATGATTCAAATTCAGGCTTTATGATTCAAAGTTCAGAACTCTTTCTATTACACCATACTGTTTCCTATTCTTCCAGCTCTAAGGCGCATCATCATATCATGCTCTGTAATTTACAAAGGGCTTTTCTCACAACAGCCCTGTGAGATAGGCAGTATGAGTGTCATTAGTACATTTTTACAGATGAGCAATTTGGGAGCCAGAAAATTTAAATGACTTTCCCGCAATCACATAGCTAATAAGGGTTAGAGCCAAGACTCAAACAAGGATATTTTGAATTCCAAGTCCAACACTCTTTCTACATTATGATACCCCTCCAAAAATAATGATCCTTTACACTAGTTAACAATGCCTTTATAATTTACAAAGTACTTTCATCCAAACATGTGAGCTATAATTATTACCTAGTTTAATTCTCAGAACAACCCTGTGAGATAGTACCAGTATTATTATCACCTTTGGAGAAATGAGGAAAATAGGGCTGTTAAGTGATGAGGGCCTGTACTAGAGTGGTGGTAGTTCCAGAGAAGAGAAGGAAGAGTATTAAGGAGATGTTGCAAAGTTGAAATCGACAGGCTTTGGCAACAGATTGGATATGGGAGGGTGAGAGATAGTGAGGAGTCCAGGATGACTCCTAGGTTGTGAGCCACAAGGACAGGGATAGTGGTGTTACCCTCTACAATGACAAGGAACATTAGGGGTGGGAGGAACTTTTAAGGGGAAAAATTAGTTCTGTTTTAGACTTTCACTTTCATTTTTTTCCTTGGCATCATGTAAGAGGTACCATAAAAATTGGTTCATAAAATTTGAAAGTATCCGTCATAGAAGTATGACAATTGAAGGCAAGAAGCTTTGTATACTTTCTTTCTTTCTTTCCTTCTTTCTTTCTTTTTCTTTCTCCTTCTTCCTTCCTTCCTGTCTTTCTTCCTGCTTTGTTTATATGTATATATATTTATGATTTATATGTATTATGTATAACATGTATAATATGGTATACATAACATATGCATACTATATTACATATAATATGTATATAATTTATGTACTTATGCTTTATATATTATATACTCTATGTGATACATGTATGATATATAATATATTATTGTATATTTTATATATTTATGTATACTTTATAGCAAGAGAAATATTTTGTGACACAGTGTGGTATGGTAGAAAAAGCAATGAACTTGGAGCCACAGGGCAGGAATTAAATTCCTAGCTCAGCTACTTACTGCCTGTGTGACCTTGGGCAAGTCCCTTAATCTTTCTGAGCTTCTCTTAGTTTCCTCCTGTACAAAAAAGGAACTAAGATTCCTTTCCAGTTCCATATCTATGATCTAGTGATCCAGTCATCTAATGGGCAGTTTGTTCAGGGCAGTGAACTTCATCACCCACTTCTTCCAGATGGTGTCGTGGCCTCTTTAATGTTCACAGATGGTCAAGGTTTCAGTTCAGTGTCTTACAGGAAAGTAACAGCACCAGTGTCTACTCCTTTGCTCATCCACTTGGAGAGATTTTACTGGGGCTGGAATTGCAAATGGGTCATCCAGGGATTTGTGATGGTATCTCCAGGATGGCTCATAGTTTACAAGCCAGTCCTGATGAACTCTGTGCTGCTTGGAGCCTGCAGGCCATTAATTTGTAGCTTTTCCCTATTCAGCTTGCTATCCAGAAACCATCTCCCCAAGGCCAAGGAGGAGGAGATGACTAAGCTAGAGCTGTTTGTCCTGAAACAGCAAGTCATGCTGAGTATTACTCTTGTCTTGAGATGTAAGGGACTGGTTCATGAAGAGTTAAATATTGACTGCGAGGCAAAGAGTGTGGTGGAACAGCTGGGTCAGTCACGAGCCCAGACATCAGGTCAAGGGTGAAGAAGCTTGGTTTCAATTGTAGCTTCAGTGGGCAGAGTTGGTGAGGCGTGCCTTTCTCCAGTCAGCAGAGAGGTGATGGGCCATAGGTACAGAATGGAGCACATGTTGTCAGACATGGCCAGTATACTATACAGATTTGTTTAGCTGTATTTGTTTTGAGAAAGGGTTTTGGGGTGAGGGAAGGAAAGAAGGGGAGGACAGTAACTAGGAAGTAACAAAGTTTTGGTTTTTTTTAAGAATAGCAATAAAACATTTTTAATAGCGACTCAATATACTCTCAGATAAGATTGATCTGTTGGTTTTGCTGCAGATTTTTTTTTCATCTTTCCTGTTTATTCTTACACAGGTGACTGGGGAGGGAAGGGGAAAGGATATATTTTAAAATGAAGGTGATATCAAAACAAAAAGCATCAAGAAGAATTAAAGGGAAAAAGGAGAGGAAAAAAGAGGCTTAGTCATCCATGTAAGGCACCACTGTAGAGGCCAGAGAACCAGCTGGGTATTGTCAGGAGACTGAGGTCATAGCATCATAAAGTCAGAGCTGGAAGGGAACGTAGAGGCTAGCAAGCCCCACCCCATCATTTTACAAATCAACAAACTGAGGCTTGCATATGGTCACATAGGAAGTATCTGAGGCAGAATTTTCATTTAGGTCTTCCTGAATTCAAGCCCAGCTGTCTATCCACTGGCCAACCCTTTCTTGAATTAAAAGGTGCTTCAGGATCTATGAGCAGTCCAGATCAGGACAGCAGTTTCTGCCTTCTCCATTCATGGTTCTACTACCTAATAGCCATGTAACCTTCGCTGCCCAGGGCTTCAGTGTCCTCTTCTGTACAGAATGGATTAGATGATCTCTAAGGCCCCTTTTAGCCCTTCCATGACATCTACCCTACCTACTCAGCCCCTTCTTGGATTCAAAGGTACTTCAGTAGTGTCTGAGCAGGCCTTCTTCTCAATAGCACTCTATGTCATCTTCTGTGGGTAGATAGAGGAGCCCAGAGGGCTCTGAATGCCTCATGGATTTGTAGTATTATAGCTATCATCCTCTGAGTGTCTAGTAGGGGTGAAAAGATGAATATGTTTAGACCTAATTAAAAGAAATAACCAGGGAAACTGTATTTTGCTAAAAGGTACCATTGACAATGAAGCAATTTCTCTGATAAAGGGTATATACTGAGTATAGAATTGAGTCAGATTTTTAAAAATAAGAGCCATTTCCCAATTGATAAATGATCAAAGAACATGAACAGCAGTTTTCAGAAGAAATCAAAGCTATCTTTAGTCACATAAAAGTATTCTAAATCATTATTGATTAGAGAAATGCAAATTAAAATAACTCTGAGGTACCACCTGACACCTATCAGAAATGACAAACGCTGAAGGGGAAGAGGGAAAAATAGGTACATTAACGAAATGCTTGTGTAGTAGTGAACTAGTCCAAGCATTCTGGAGAACAATTTGGAACCATGCCCAAAGGTCTATAAAATTTTGCATGCCCTTTGATTCAGTAATACCACTACTAGGTCTGTAACCAAAAGAGATCAAAGCAAAAGTAAAATTACCTACATGTATAAAAACATTTATAGTGGCTTTTTTGTGGTGTCAAAGAATTGGAAATTGAGGGGATGCTCATCAATTGAGGAATGGCTGAACAAGTTATGGCATATCATTGTAATGTAATACTATTGTGCTATAAGAAATGATGAGGGGGCAATTTCAGAGAAACATGGCAAGACCTATGTGAGCTGATGCTAAGTTAAGTGAGAAGAACTGGGAGATCACTGTCCACAGTACCAGCAATGTTGTAATCATGATCAACTGTGAAAGACTTTGCTGCTACGATCAGAACGATGATCCAAGGCAGTTCCAAAAGTCTCATGATGAAATAATTCCATCCACCTCCAGAGTAAGAACTGATTAACTCTGAGTGCAAATGGAAGTATGATTTTCTCACTTTATTGCTCTTGCTTTTTAAAAAAAAATATGGCTAATATGGAAATATTTTTTGCATGATTTTACATGTATAATTGATACATTGCTTGCCTTCTCAACTAGTGTGAGAGGGGAAGGAGGGAGATAGAGAATTTAGAACTCAAAATTTAAAAAGAAAAGAATGTTAAAAATAAATAAATAGCAAATAAAATGCTTTTTGAAAAGATAAATTTGTTTAGTCAGACAATAGGAGGAAAGATGAAATCGTCATTGTCTAGCCTTTGCTTACGTGTGCCTTTCATCCTTTTTTTAAGAGCTATGATGATGGAGATTCCCGACTGGACTCCAATGAGTTCTTGAAATTTGTGGAACAGAATGAAACTGCTATCAACATCACCACTTACGTCAACCAAGAGACCAACAAGCTGCTCAGGTGCGGGGGATTTGGGGTAGCTCATGCTGGGAAGGCTGGGCAGGAGAAAGGGAGTCTGATCCCCTCCTCTGGGCAAAAGAACTGTTTCTAGAGGGAGGTGAAGGCACGCTAGCAGTTTTATTTATTTTTCTCTAGCTTCTTACTGTTGTGGTTTTTTCGTGCTTCACGTTAACAGTTTACAGAGCAGTTTCCTGAGGTAGGTAGCATAATTATCTGGATTCCCATTTTACTTGAGGAAGCAGACTCAGAGACATTATGACTTACTCAGTGTTATATGGCCAGCAAGGAAAAAAACTGATATTTCAACTGGCTCTTCCTCCTCCCAAATCCAAGTGTTCTTTCTACTACGTATCAATTAAATCAGGTCAAGTTTTCAGTTATTGAAAGAGTAGTGGAGTAGTAATAATAATCAACATTTATATAGCACGTTAGTGCCTAGAGTGCAGGGCCTGGAATAAGGAAGACTCATCTTTCTGAGTTCAAATCTGGCCTCAGACACTTACTAGCTGTGTGGCCCTGGGCAAGTCACTTAACCCTGTTTGCCTCAGTTTCCTCATCTGTAAAATGAACTGGAGAAGGAAATGACAAACCACTCCAGTATCTTTGCCAAGAGAACCCCAAATGGGGTCATGAAGAGTTGGACATGACTGAAATAACTGAACAGCAAGTGTGCTCTGTCCATTCAGAAGAGAGGCATCATGGCATAGTCCAGTTATGTCAAACTCAAATAGAAACAGATCCCTACAGGCTGCATATTGACTTAGAAAACCACAAAGTAACATTATCTATGTTGTATTATATTGTTATTTATTTTGTCAAACATTTCCCAGTCATATCTTAATCTGGTTCCTTCATGCACTCAGGAGTTTTTCTGGTCAAGAGTTTGACACTTCTGATGTAAGGGAAAGAATTGCTACTTTGAGTCAGTGACATCGAAATCCTGGCTCTGACATTTATTACCCATGTGGCCATGAACAAGTAACTTCATCTCTCCAGGTCTCAGTTTTCTCATCTGTAAAATGAAGAGGATGGGCTGGATCAGCTCTTGCAGAGCTGTAATCAAAGGGATCAATATGGATGTGCCTTCCAGCAATATAGATCACACCCACGTTTTCCTACGTCTCCTTGCATGGCTCTTGTCCATGGCCTCCCACAAATGTACCACAGGGGTTCCACTCACTCTGCTGGAGTGGGCCTTCCTCTCCTTCTCCTGTCACATTATTGAAATGCACAGCATGATTTCTTTCCACTCTTTAAAGCAGCAGGGCCTATGTAACCCCAACTCCTGTATGGTTACCATAGATGCAGGCCCTTGGTAGACAGAACGATATACTGGACCTGGAGGTGGGAAGACCAAGATTCCAATCCCACTTCAGACCTTTACTAGCTGTGTGACTGTGGGCAAGTCATTTAACTTTTGTGCCTCAATTTCCTCATCTGTAAAGTGAGAAGATTGAATTCAATGGTCTCTGAGGTCCCTTCTGACTCTAACTCTACTATTATTTCATGTTCCTTTCATGCTTTGATTATTACTTTCAGAGTTCACCTTTAGATTTTAGTTTCTACAACTGGCATTTCTGGTTTGGTTAACTTAAAGTAGATATGGTGGGGGAGGATACTGCTAGAGTAAGGTTTGCAAGGACAAGAGTACTATTGGCCAAAATGGAAAAGTCATTCAGGAGAACATGACTTGGTATAGCAAGAACATTTGGACAGCCTAAGGGATCTAACGTCCAAGTTGTTAATAGGCTGATTCCTGGATTAGTAATTTATATTGTCATGAGATTTAGAGCTGGAAGGGATCTTAGAGATCATGTAATCCAACCCATTTTGCAGATACAAAAACTGAGGCTTAGAGAGGTAAAGTAACCTGAAATGGTAAAGATGATTAATACTTTCCAGGTATAACTTCAAAGTGCTTCTCAGACACTGATTACACGGTAGAAATGGAGGAACCTAATTCCTGCTGACTATTTTCCTGTGTTGAGGCTAGTGGCTTTGGGGAAGATAGCTGAGGTCTCACTGCTGACCCTGTCCTCCCCTGTGTCTTTTGTTTCAGGGGACTCTGCATTGATGCTCTCATTGAGCTCTCTGATGAGAATGCTGACTGGAAACTCAGTTTTCATGAATTCCTCAAGTGCCTCAACCCTTCCTTCCACCCTCCTGAGAAGAGTAAGCTTTCTTTACCTTACCTAATCAAACAGGGAGACTTTCATGGTCATAGGACTGAGGGATGTTGGGATCTTCCAATACAGTTAAGTAGTGCAATAAGTATTTGTTGAACGTCCTACTATGTGGCAGGTACTACTGCTTTGATGGGTTCTTAAGATGTAAAGACCTGACCTCCAGGGGCTTACTTCCTTTTTGTTACTATTCTGTCAACAAATATTCCTTAATTTATTCATTAAATTCTAATAGAATGTAAACTGCTTGTGGCCAGGCATTATTTCATTTTTATCTGTCTCTACCACCTAATATAGTGGGAAAGATTAATGACTTTAGGGTCAAAAGACCTGGGTTCAAATCCCACTTCTGATGCTTCTAACTGGGTGACCTTGAGTAGGTCCCTTAGCCTCTATAAGGCTTTGGTTTCCTCAACTATAAAATAAAGCTATTAGGCTGGATGGCTTCTGAAGTCCCTTCCAACTATAGATCTGTAGTCCTTGCACATATTAGGAATAGTAATAAATAGTACTTTTTAAATTGAATTAAGTGCTTACTTCATGTAGAACCTTGGAGGAGATATAAAGACACAGTAAGACATGTCCTCCTGATTCACAAAAAGGGAAAGATAGAATATCCTAGTGAAAAGTCTAAGCTCCAAACTGTGTGCTAAAACCATGCCTCCATTTTTTTTTTGGCCCCAATAGAATGCGCCCTGGAAGATGAAAACTATGAGGATGGAGCCGAGACCCAGGTGGAATGTAACCGCTGTGTCTGTGCCTGTGGGAACTGGGTCTGCACCGCCATGACCTGTGAGGGTAAGTTTGGCCCCAGGTTCGAGAAAGAAGGAAGGTTCCTTCATACAATAAGCAGACAGCCCTCAATCAGTAGAGATAATTTTAAGAACATGAGGAACTGGATCACATGTCAGAATGACATACTTGTATCTGCCCTTGCTTTGGAAGAACACTGATGGTCACATCCCAGAAATACTTAGTTCAGAAAACACATGAGGGTCTTAGAGGCATTTGGGGAAAAGGCACAAGGAGTTGACAGCACCTTTGGCGATGGGATTAGGAGGATGTGCTGCAGGTAAAAAATACTCAGGTGCTTGGAAGCTAAAGGCCAGGTCCTTTGGGTACCAACAGGCACTGGCAAACCCTGTGAGACAGAAATATGTGACTAGCAGGAAGGCATAAATATAAAAGGTTAGAGTTTAAAGGAAATTATAGAGGTCATCTAGTCAAAATTCCAGAAGAGAATGGGGAATGGTAGACTAGTAAGATAGGGCCATTAGTCAAGAATGGAAGTACCAGACAAAGATTAAGGTTGATGGCATGAAAAGTAAGTGATCTGAGCTCGTGGAATTTAGCAGCAGTATAGTATGGTTCAGAGATTCTCAAAGTATGGTCTGGAGGTCCTTGAGGCCTTTTCATGGGGAGTTGGAAGTCAAAACTTTTCATAATAATACTAAGACATTTTAATTTCTAAGATAGTGAATATTGAAAGCTATAACTTGCATAAAAGTTCTTTGTGGGGGAGGGGTGATCAGAGAGGGGGATTGTCGTCTGTGGTTTTGAAGAGTGTAAAAGGGTCCTGAGACCAGAAAGTTTGAGTATTAAGGTATAGTCAATAGGATATTTGTAATCAGGAGGACCTGGGCTCTAAGAGCGCCTCAAATACGTATTAGGTATGTGGTCCTGGACAAGTTACTTAACATCTAATGTCTCAGTTTTCCCCATCTGCAAAATGGGAAGAGGGGAAGGAGTTGGATTCTGGCCTTTAAGATCTCTTCTAGCTCTAAATGGATAATCTTATGAATATATATAGAACTGAAGACCAAATGAGAACAATGAATTTTTAAAATGGTTGACAGCAGGAACCCAGGATACTTCAGAATTTAGAGGTCAAGAGAAGTGAATCAAGGCCACACAGATACTCGGGTTGCACTGGTACCTAGGTGACAACAGGATGGGCGTGGCCAAGAAAGGACCAGGTACCATAAGCCAGGCAGACTAGAGGTCAAATCCAAAGAGGTCAGCTAATACTTGGGGAAATAGTCAAGTGCTGTAAATCCAGGCAACCATGGAATGCAATCTAGGAAGATCAGCCAAGACAGGGACCAGGAACACAAACTAGAGCCCCAGTAGTATCAAAGACTCGGGAAAAAGGTCTGAGCAGACATACATAAGGCATCCATGTAATGGTGATCAGCATACCAGAACCCATAAGTGGGCCGAAGGTGAAAACTTAATTGTTTCATGGAAATAATACCAATCATTGTAATAATATGCCTCATAACATAAGCCAAATGAGAGCCAAATGGCAGGAATGAGTGGAGAAAATAGTTCTTCCCTAGACACAAAGCCTGATTTTCCATCATAGTTACCAGACAAAGAATAGTGACCTGAATACTATTTGGATGCTTCATGATGTGGAGATGACCTTGGGTTATAGAATACTATAGTAGTAGAACACAAGCTCTGGAGGATCCTAAAACACTGGAAAGGCTTCACACATGAGCCCAGCTATGGACTCTGTGTCTGCCCTATAAGGACTGGTCTAGCTAAGTTGGAAGAGACTCATCATCAGAAAGCTGGCCACATCTACTAACCTATTATTCCAAATTGCCTCCTATTAATATATTGTTTGTTCACACTATGTTGCTTCACACTTTGAAGGCAATGGGTAGAATGTGACACCAGACATCTTCAAATTCAAAGAAGTGGAGTTATAGCTAAGTAACCTCTTCTTCCACATCATGTACTTGTTTCTTGAAATAAATTTTTATTAGTATCTTTTGTTTTTAATCACTTATGCTTCCCAGTGTCTGCCTTTCCCTACTCTCTTCCTTCCATAGAGACATCCCTTAACAAAGAATAAAAACAATGAAAAAAATTCAGCTTACCAATAAAAACTTACCAATACATCAAAATAAATACATCAAAAAAATCTGAAATCTGAAGTTTTCCATACCCATAGTCTCCAACCTCTGCAAAAAAAGTAGGGGGGGGCAGGGAAGAGATTCCATTTCATATCTCTTCTTTGGGGCCACGATTGGACATTAGAATTTATAGCATTCATTTTCAGTTTTGTTGTTGCTCTTATATCCTTTTACACTGGTGTAGTTGCTGTGTACATTTTCCTGTTTCTGTCCCATCCTTCCATATGGATCTTTTCTTGCTTCTCTATTCATCGTATTTATCATTTCTTCAATAATATTACATTTGTGACCCAACACTTGTTTAATCATTCCCCAATCAATGGGAACCTATTTTGCTTCCAGTTATTTGCTACCCCAAAGGGGCAGAGAGACAGAGAGAGAGAGAGAGAGAGAGAGAGAGAGAGAGAGAGAGAGAGAGAGAGAGGGAGGGAGGGAGGGAGGGAGGGAGGGAGGGAAGCCATACCATGTACTTGTAGAGATAGATCCATGTAGGAGCTAATGATCCCTGTGAGATCTCAGTCAGGTAAGTCTTAATATAATTCCCAAACTAATTTACTGCTTCTACTATTCTCCTGAACCTGACTTTTTCTTTCAGGAAAGAATCAGAAAGGGCAACAGCCTAATGAAGATCTGACTGAAGAGGAGTTGGCCAGATATGTCCAAGAACTACAGAAGCATCAGGTGAGCAAGAACCTTTCACTTTGTCCAAGCTAGTCCTAAGACCAACAATTTAATTTACACCTCTTACTCTGCTGCCCTGGAATGCCCAAATGACCTGTTCTGTTAAAGACATTAACAGGGTCAATTCAAGGACATGTGGAACTCAACTGATGCTACCATGTTAAAAACCATTAGATTCAGATTCTGTCATAACTGACTTTTCAATGGATCTGCATCACATAATTTATGTTTATCCTTGACGGCAGGATACAGCATGGCAGAAAATGGTGTTAATTCAGAATAGTGGGCTGCAGAATAAGTAGTGCTGTGATCAGAAGGCTAGTAGATTATAACAGGAAGAATCTAGGGCAAACAATTAGAGAAGGATGGAGTGTACCTCAAAGAAGCAGAGATTGCTTAGTGATAGCAGCAAAGATGGGTTGGGAAGTAGTGAGTAAAGAGTATGTCTGCTTCTTTTTCCTGATCCCATGTGTTAGAGAGGCCGTGAAAGAAGGAACAACCCTATGGAAAGACTGAATAATCACAGGATCATAGATATAGAGTGGGAAGGCACTTTAGTCCAACCTAGTCATTTTATGGATGAGGACATTTTGGGGAAGAGAGATTAAGTAATTTGCCCAAGGTCACCCAGGTGGTAAGGGCAGAGTCTGGATTCCAATCCATGTACTTTAATACCAAATCTGCTATACTGTCCACTATTTTGTTATTGTTCTTCCATTTCCATTGTGTCTGACTCCATTTGGGGTTTTCTTGGCAAAGATATTGGAGTGCTTTGCTATTTCCTTCTCCAGCTCATTTTATAGGTGAGGAAACTGAGGCAAACAGGGTTAAATGGCTTGCCCAGGGTCACATAGCTAGTAAGTGTCTGAGACTGGATTTGAGCTCATGAGGATGAGTCTTTCTGACTCCAGACCCAGCACTCTATCACTGAAGTACCTAGCTTCCCCATTCTCCACTGTACTAGGCTACCACTGAGTAGTATCGGAGGAAGGAGGAGGCTTCTCCTTGGCAGACAGCCAACTCCAAATCACAGGCAGAACAGGAGAAGGAGGAGGAGGTGAAGAGAGGTTTCTTCCAGTTTGACATCTGATGATCTTATGAACTATTGATGAGGAAAGGGAGCCTCATGTCTTTCAGCAGCAATGGCAGCCTTCTCATGTGTCAGCTTTATGCACTTAAGCGATGCTGTTTTAAAAATGTGTCCATTGTGGCTTTAAGGAAAAAAAAGATGATTATGATGGAAACCACTAGACAACATTCTCTAAAGCTGCTCCTTTTTTCCCCCTTCCTTTTCAAAGGAGACAGCAGAAAAGAACAAGAAGCCAAGCACCAAAGAGATCTAACAAGCTTCCAGCCCTTGAAGAAGGAACCCAGAGCTTCTGCCTCCCGGCAGGCTCAGCCCATGCCCGTTTACTTCAGCGCTGAATTCCATATACACAAGTGTCTGCTACAGTTTCCAAATCGCCAATATTTGCATTGTATAATGAATTTTTTTCACTTATTTGTTTTTATAATAAAGGAAGATGTGGGACTAGAGAGGGGGTGGGGCCATAACCTTCATTTCTAAGAAAGCTTTAAGGGAAACTGGAACTGGTGTTTGGGGGGCTCACCAAGGAGGCTACTTCCCAGTTATAGGAGGAGCCCACTTGGATCAGAACCACGTCCCAGTCCTGTGCTCAGATGAGCTAGGGGAAATGCAATGATAGAATGCCAGGGAAATCTGTTCATAGGAGGGAGGGTAGCTGGTGGCCATTCTGGATTGGGGGGAAAGGAGATTGTAGAAGAGGGAGTACACCCCTGCTTTAGAGAAGGGGCAGGGGACCCATGCTGTAGCTTGGCTACTGAGAACCCAAAACCTCTCAGCTTGTCCCTCTCCCACTCTGTCCAGGAGTACACTCTCAAAAGATAAATGGAAAGGCTAACTCATGGCAGCTTTCCATTGGCCAGTTGTCTGTCAGCATGACCTGAACTTATACCTCTACTGGTGACTCCGGCAACCTGTTAGTGACCATACATCCTCCAAACCACCTACTCCTCATGAGGCTTGGGCAGAGAGCTCTGGGAATCCCAGATCTCTGTGATCCAGCTCTTGTCTGCCACTCCCTACCCCCATTGGGCACACTCTTTCATTTGTTTTATTTTGTTTTGTTTTGTTTTGTTTTTTACTTTTCACAAAGGTGCTATCTTCTCTTGAAACACTTTTGACAAGTTGACTTTTTTTTTCATTTATTGTTATTACCATTGCCTGTTGTTCATGAATATTTTATTTTCTGGATTAGGAATTGAGTTTTTATATTTTTCAGTACTTTCTAGACTTTAGAGGGGAGGGAGGAATTTATTATTATTTAATGTCTCATTCTATGCATGGCCTCACTATGCCTGCAGCCCAGACCGCATGCTACATTGCACACTGGATGGTCAGGGTTTTCTTCCATCACTTCCAAGGACATCAGTGTCTGTGAGTGGGAACAGAGGTTGCCTCAAAGAGAAGCCAATGGAAGAAGAAACATTGTCATAGGAAACTGTCTGTGTTTGGAAGACCAGGTTTTGACTGATTCTATGGAGATGATTTTGAGGGCTCCAAATAAAGATATTTGTATGAGAATTCAGATATTCCAAATGGTTGGAGGTTAAAAAAAAAAGTAAACAGTACAGCTCCTCTTTAGATATCTGGGGGCTGGTAGGTTATAGCAATAAGAATGGCTAGCAAGTGATATAAATGGATGGGGTAAACCTTCAAGAAGGACAGGTTGCTCAATGAAGCAAAGGAAGGGTCTGGACATAGTGTTGAGGGTCATAGAGGGTTTCTACACCTTTGTCTGCCTCAGAGTGTCAGGACTGGGGAATGCAAGAAGGAGCACCTTTTACCAGAGAGACAGTGGCCAGGAATGCAATGGCTTACAGAGGGAGCCAGGTTTCCATGAGTGCAAGAAGGCTTGTTGTCTACCCTTGACCCTTGCAGGTTTCTTCAAGCTCTGAGATTCTGTGAGTCAATGACTCAAGTTCATGTGATTTTAATCTTCCATGAGATGAAGCTCTGTCGTGATCCACCAAGATTGGCAGCAAAGGAATAAATTTAATGCTGATGGTAGATTATGCCAAAAAGCAACGGAGGCAGCAGGCAATAGAGGGGGGAGTTATATCTGATTTGTTTTGAGGGTGATTTTTTTTCCATTTCATGTTAGACTTGTTATTCTTCAAAATAGAAATAAAATATGTTCAATAACAATTTATGGTAGGATGTCAGTCAACAAGTGTTTTTTAAACACCTGCTCTATGCCAGGCACTCTGCGTGAAGGAAAATCACCCAGAATGGGTGGGCATGGATGGACTGAAATCTGCTTCACTGGAGGGAATACCCACTTAGAGGAGATTACAGAACCATTAGAGAATGGAATTAAAACCTGGCTTCTAATTTCAATAGGGAAAAAAGTAAGAGATGACTCTGGCACTATCTAGTTTAGGAAATACGAGTATTTGAAAGAAGCTACTTCCTGTTTCTGAGTACTTCAGCTCTGACTTCCCTTTTCACATGCTTGGCACTGTATCTATTTCAGACCAATAAATTCATTTCTAAGAAAGGGGCATAGGTTACCATCTAGTATAATTCTCACACAGTAAATGTTTGTTGATTGACTAATAGAAAAAACCACGAAATCCTATGTGTAGAAGGCAGACAAGGATCCATCTTTTCTTCAGAATTAAATGACTTGAGTTGTAATGGATGAACAATGATGAGAGGCTTTTGTGTTTAAATTGGAATTCTCCCTAAATAGATTTTCTTTCTCCCCTTCACTGAAAAAGCATGCAATTTCAAACACTCCAACTTAGAAGGATCCATTTTGCTTAGAATTCTCATCTTTCACCTATCTTTAGCCTAAAACATTGTTAACTCCCTTGTCTGTTCCTGAAGTTTAAGCATCTCCTTGTTTAAGTGCCTTACAAAACCTTGCAGCCAGCCTTAATCAAACTACAGGTTTTCACTTGCAGAAAATGGGTTCCTTTTCCCATCCTAGAATCCTTGAGGAGAGAGGGAAGGCCAGAGACTGGCAGTGAGGCAGGAAGCAAATTACCAGTGCAATGTCCCATCAGCCAATTCCACCATCACATTTAATTAGTGGTAGAGTTCAAAATTACCATTGCCACATCAGATCATAGAGTTAGAGCTGGAAGGGACTTCAGAGGCAGAATTCAATCCCCTCATTTTACAGATGAGGAAATTGACACCCAAAAAATGTTAATGACTTGGCCAGGGTCACACAGCTATCAAATGTCTGAGGCAAGATTTAAACCCAGGTCTGACTCCAATTCCACTACTCTATCCTCGATGCTGCCTCTCAGAGCACAGGGACAACTTGGAAAAGATGAAATGTAAAATCAGTCTGCCCTGGTCTGTAAACTGAGGACAGCTCTGATCAGTTCTATCAAAGTACTGCTAATGAGCAGCCCAAAAACTCATGGAAAGGACTCTGTGGCTCAAGCTTAGGGGTCCTACAGAGAACTGCACAGAATAAATGAAGCAAGATTTCATAAAGGTACACTTCTGTCCCTTTGGGAAAGGGGCAATATAGCAAGCTTTATGAGTCTCTTCTTTCCCCAGCCCCACTATGGTCTTATAAGCCTCTGTCTATGTGTTAAAATGCATGTGCTAAAAACAAGTGTCCATGGAAATGTTAATACTATCCCCTGCCTGACCACTCTCCAAGAGCAGATGGGTCTTCCTTCTACTCACTAATTAGCCTCACTTCCACCATCCACCAAGTTCCAAGCAACTATCTTGGAGAAAGGACTGCAGGGACATTTTCTCCTATATGCTTACTTTTTACATATTAAAAAAACTTATATAAAAAAAAACAACAGTGTAAGCCTTCTTGTGTTTCTCATGCATGTGAGAATGTGTCAGTGAAAGGTCTCGGTAGTCAGTAGTAGGCTTTTATATTGCATTTATTTTAACCCTTTTTGTAATTCTTGATAGGTTCATTTTTCTTCTTTCCTTTGGACATATAAATGCCAAATAAAGAAATTAAAACAATTATTTCATTGTTTTTTTTTTTCATTTCCTAAGCAAGGCCAAATAAAATTCTACTCTGGATCAACCAATCTTACCTCACAAAATTCACACTATGAAAAAGTAGAATTGGGGCCTGCAGAACCTCAGGAAAGGAACTAAGGTGACCCATGAAAGATTCATTAGCCTGCAAAGAAAACAGGGTGTCCATAGGAGATGGGAATGACCGTCTCCTTCTTGTGCCAAGGTACAGTGTTTATGAAAGGAGAGTAGGGCACAGTAGGAAAGTGGAGCAATGTTGCTCAATATTTCCTGGATTGCTGCAAAAGGAATGTTATTACTAAGTCCACGGAATAAAATCAAGCACAGTGGCATTCCTCATAAGAAGGATAGTCAGTAAGAAATGGATTTTTTTTTTAAACCTCAGCCTCTCATTCAAGACAGAGAAGTTATAATCTTCATTGGTGAAGTGTGTGGCCACTCCCATTGAAATCACAGATTTTTGAAGTTCTTGGGTTGAGAACTAAGGATCAGCACTTGGAATATACAGTGCAGGCATTTGTTTCTGCCTTAGCCCCCTACTTCTGCTACCATACACTCAGAATAGGGATATAATCACCAGGCAGCCTGAAAAAAGCAATGATATCTGTTCTCCATATTCCCAATTAGTTGAAAAGTTTAGCCAGCCGGGAAAAATGGTATTCCATTAACCATTAGAGGTTGTAAGTATACAAAGTAGCAGAATTTTGTGAAGAAAAATGTTAAAGCTAAGAATCCAAGACCAGTCCTTCAAAAGCATAAAGCAATATGCAAAAATGTCGTTGCAAGATGGTTTTGGGGGGTTCAGACCTGAGATTTCATAAGGAAGGAATATCCTTCCTACCATTGAGGCAGATTGGCAATTCATCTGTAAGTTGCAGTCTTAGAGAGTTGCCTTTCTACAATTAGAAGAGAGGTTAAATTATTTCGGAGGCAGTCGTGGTCCAATGGAAGGACCACTCAATTTAGAGTAAATCTCCTTTGCTGGACAACCAATTATTCTGGACCACCTACTATATTCTGCCCCTTTACTTTGGGGCCCAAGTTTCTGTCCTGAGTCATGGATTTTCTTCTCTCCATTCTCTATCTCTTGGTGACCTCATGAGCTCCTATGGGTTTAATTATTATTCCTATGAAAGTAAATACCAGATCTATATATCTAGCATTCATCTCTTTCCTAAGTTCTAGTTAGTCCCATGTGCAGTGGTTCACAGAAGCTTGCTGGCCCTGAGTCAACTGTTAAATGTTTAATTTAAATTTTAAAAACACCTTAGAAATTGGCAAATGCTACAAACCAAGGCTCAATTTCTTGTTTTTTTATTGTCTATACTTAAGAAAGTAATGAAGAAAATGTTAATAATGCAGATTATGCTTAAAAGTGTATCATCTATACCTTTTTTTTTTGAGAGCCAGATGTTAAACATTTACAAGCACACCTCTGCATATCACCCTTATAATTTCTAACTGGATGCCTCCTAAGTATCTCAAACTCAACATGACCAAATAAAAACTCATTTCCCCCTCCAACCCACCCTCTTCTGTCCCCTCATTTCTATTGAAGACTTTACCATCCATCAATCACTCAGATGTGTAACTTTGGTGTCATCCTCAACTCCTCATCCTCTCTCATGGATTAAAACTGGACTTTGGAAGACATCTCATCCAACAACCTCATTTTGCAGCTGAGAAAACTGAAGCTCAGAGAAATTAAATGACTTGCCTAAGTTTCTGTCAGAAGTAGGATTCAAATTCAGGTCTTCTCTCTCCAAGGTTAGGACTCTGTCTACTATGCACTCCACATGCCAAATTAACGTCCATATTGTGCTACTTTTACCTCCACGTATCTCACATCTGTCTACTTACACATCACCATCCTACTTCAAGCCCTCATCACTTCTCCCTGGGGCTATTGCCTTTTCTTTGGTTTTTTTGGTCACAAGACTCTCTATCCAATCCACCCTCCACACAGCTGTCATAGTGATTTTCCTAAAGCACAAGTCTAACCACTTCAGTCTCCTATGCAATAAATTCCAATGGCTCCCTATTACCTCTAGGATCAAATACACATGCCTATGCTTAGCTTCCTCCCCCCGGCCCCAATTTATTATTTATTTATTTTAAAACATTCTTTTTTTTTTTAAATTCCAAATTTCTCCCTTCCTCCCAATCCCTCCCACACTCCCTGAGAAGCCAAGCAATACAATATCAACTATATATGTGAAATCATGCGAAACATATGTCCATATCAGCCATTTCACAAAAAAGCAAGAAAAATAAAGTGAAAAAATGATACTTCAGTTTGCACTCGGAGTCTATCAGTTAGTGCATAGCATTTTTTTTTTCATCATGAGTCCTTTGAAATTGTCTTGGATCACTGTACTGATCAGAGTAGCCAAGTCTTTCACAGTGGATCATCATTACAACATTGCTGTTACTGTGCACAATGATTCCCCAGTTCTTCTCAATTTACTTTGAATCATACATATTTTGCCATGTTTGTCTAAAGCCACCCCCCCTTTATCATTTCTTACAGCATAATTGTACTCCATCATAATCATATGCCACAACTTGTTCACCTATTCCCTAATTGATGGGCATCCCCTTGATGCACAATTCTTTGCCACCACATAAAAGAGCTCCTATAAATATCTTGTACGTATAGGTCCTTTTCCTTTTTCTTTGATTTCTTTAGTATATAGACCTAGTAGTGGTATTGCTGGGTCAAAGGATATGTAGAGTTTTATAACCCTGTGAGCATGGTTTCAAATTGTTCTCCAGAATAGTTAGATCAGTTCACCATTCCACCAGCAGTTCATTAATGTGCCTATTTCCCCCTCATTCCCTCCAGCATTTGTCATTTCTGTTAAGTATGAAGTAGTACCTCAGAATTGTTTTAATTTGAGTTTCTCTAATCAGTAGTGATTTAGAACATTTTTTCACATGACTATTGATATCTTTGATTTTTTTTTCTAAAAACTCTCTATTCATATCCATTGACCATTTGTCAATTGGGGAATGGCTCTTATTTTTATAAATCTGACTCAATTACTTACGTATTTGAAAAATGAGGCCCTTATCAGAGAAACTTGATGTAAAAATTTTGATATTACTTCATTGTCTGTGATATTTTTAGTAAAATACAGTTTCTCTGATGATCTCTTTCAATTAGGTCTATTTTGCTTTTGC